AACAAGAAGTGCATTCTGATTTCTTTGGCCTGTAAATTCCCCCAAAGTAAAACCAGGGCAGGCCAAGGAAAAGTTTCAAGTGGCTGCAGAGAGATGACTTGCCCTGGGCTATCTTAGGAGGGCAGGGTAGATTTCTCTGACATCTGAGCTCTCAGATTGCAGCCTAGCACTGGTTGTTCTGCCCGCTGGGAGAATTGGTGCATGTTTAAAATATGCTCCGTTTCATTGTACCATCGTGCTCCAAGAGCTGAGTCTGTGTATGTATGTAAGCCTCTTTTTAAGAACTAGATCTAGAATTATTTTGAATTTTCATTTGTCACAGTACTTGCCTCCTACGTTGAAATAAAAGAGAGACATTATTAGGATGGCAAATGGCTATGTTGCATAAGGAGAAATTCGTTGTTTTCCTCTGATGATGTCATGTCCATTCACCAACTTTTACCAACAAGGGGCTAAGCCCTATGCTATTATACACACTTAGCTGGCTTCCAGTTTCCTCCCAATCTTCTATATTCTAAAAAATAATTTTCAGCAATACTCTTTTATCATGTTATTCCCTGTGCAAATATTATTCACATTTCCCTATTTCTCATTTCATCGAGGCAAGATTTTCCATAATATCTCTGCCCAAGCTCCCTTTCTCCTACTGTGCCACTCCGCTTGGTCTCACCATTCTAGTCAAATTCCCCACAATATCGTCAACATGTATAATCTGTACTCTTGTCAGGACACAGCTAATTCATCTCCACTCTCAAGTGGCTTTATCATTCTTCAAGAGCCAACTGACAGGGGGAAATAGATATTTATTCACAACTTACATATGTGTCACTGTACATAAAATATTGCTAACCTCACAACAGCCCTGTTTTACAGATGAGGAACAGGACTCAGAGAGGAAATATATTTCCCAAGATCATACAAAAAACTACCTGCAACTCATCTTTGTAAAGCATTCCTTCCCTTTTGACCTCAGCACTGGCCTCTGCCTCTGCGGTTTAGCACGTTATTGTGTGCCATTTTGTTTCCTAATTGTGCCCTTGTTTTCCTCATCTCTATGGTAAGCATAGAAAGACCCTTTACAGGGCAAAGCGTACAGTAAGTGCTGAATGGATACTTGACTGATTTTATATGTTTACGTATATTGATGCCCAGTACTGTTAGGCTATTTTAGAAGGTTTGGGACAGATTGTGTTTCAGCCAGAAAAATATGTTTATTTGAGTAATGGAAAGAGACCTGTGTCTGGCTTTGTTGAGCTTTGCTGTTATTCCTAGAAAATGTGTTTAGGTAGGGAATTGGTATCTTTGCATGAGTCCTCAGGCTCTATTGAGCATGGATAATGCACCTGGTACCCTAAAAGTGTGGCAGATATTGTTCTAAGGGCAGGTCCACAATTCTTTATCTGAAAGTCTTGAGGACTTTGCAAATCACACTGGTCTCACCTACTGGTTTTGTGACCTTGAGCAACTTCCTTAGCATACAGGACCCCAGAGGCTGATATTCTCATCATTACAGTCAGCTTCTGCTTCTCTTAAATTCACATTATGAATCGTCTCATCTTGTTTTTGTAAAGCATAATGTAGACTCATATGTGAAACTAGGCTCTTCCTATCAAGAAGACACATATCTTTAGATTACTTAATATCTCTCCTTAAAAGTCCTTTAGTCATCTCCCCACAATTCCATATCGCCCTAGTATCTCCATACCTTCCCTCTTCCTCCTCCTATCTCATTTTTCCTTTCTCCTCCCTCTTTCCTTTTTTAAAAAATGTTTTTATTGATTTTCAAGAGAGAAGAAGGGAGGGGGAGAGAGAGAGAAAAACATTAATGAGAGAGAAACATCTATCAGCTGCATCCTGCACGCCCCTACTGGGGATTGAGCCCACAACCTAGGCATGTGCCCTGACCAGGAATTGAACCAGTGACCTCTTGGTACATGGGTTGATGCTCAACCACTGAGCCACACCAGCTGGGCTCCTCTCCTTTTCCTTACCCCTTTCTTCCCTTTTCTCACCCTCCCTCTATAGAGCAAAAAACAAACTCTTCTTTTTATTCCTTCCAGTATTTAGTAATTGTTTTGGCTTGTCTTTTGATACTTATGCCTTCAAGGTATTATCTTCTCCCATTGAATTATCAAAGAACTTTCTTACACAATGGCAGTTCCTTTTCTGAGTTCCTTTCCTTGTTAACATCTTGTGATCTCCAACCTAGATGTCCTTACTTCCCTTTCTGTACCCAGCTACACTGATAAACTGTCTTCCCCACTCCTCAACCTCCAATCAATAGCATTTGTGTTACTTGCTTAGCTACCTAAGTTTGTCTCTATACAAATGCCTTGGCTACCCTAAAGCTGAAAGTTTTTTTTAATTACTTTCAGTGCCTAGTACCAGGTTTTATTTTTAGTGGGTGTTCAACAACTTCTAGAATAAATCTGACAGAATACCGAAATCTAGGAAGCCACTAATATATCCACTCAGTGACTACACAGTTAATAGAAATTGAAGCCTGTAGCTTCATAACTCTTGTCTTCATATTACCCTGAGTGGAGGAAATTACTTGGCTTGAGATTTCAAAGACATTTGCAGTTCTTCAGTAGGGAAAATATGTCAGATAGTAGCCAGGGAAAATGCATTATATAAATCCTTACCCTCAGTGAAATGTAATTCAGCCTTGACCAAAAGATATAAATAACTCAGCCTTGATTATAAATTCATGTTCAACCCATAAATGAGTGTCTAAGAGGTTTCTCTACCACAGAGGGCCAGTGGTGCTGAGTAAGCTTTAGATAAAAGTTTTCTGGCAGAAAAGCTTTGTCACACCAGGTGTTGTGACAAAAGCTTTTAGGACAGCTCAGCACATGGTAAGAGCTCATTTGTGGCTGATGGAATGAATGGATGCAATAAGAAATGTAGAAGACCAACTCTGGTGACAGAGGTATTGAACACTGCCTGTTGCCCACCTTTACCTGCTCCCTGGTTATGGGTACCTTTTAGGAGAAAGAGACCTGAATGTTAATCTCTCAGCTCTACTCCCCCAAAATGTGTGACCATCATCCAGTAATTTAAATGTTCTAGCCTTGGTTTTTATCTTCTGTAAAATGAAAGACTTGGGCTAAATGACCTCTAAGGTAGATTTGAATTGCTCATATGGATATAGTTCCTTGTCTTTAGAAAGTAATGCAGGTACATGGAAATAGCCAAATGTCCTAGAGACACATAATAAGTAATTTCTTATATATATAATTTATAAGTATATAACATATATATTAAATTTATAAGTAATTCCTTCCTTACACCCACTACCAGGTCTTTCTCATTGGAAGAAGGCCCTTTGGATTAATTCCATTTTATTCCTCTAAATAATGTGCTTATGCCTCTATTTCTTAATTTATCAACTCTAAGCAATAACATTTACCTTAGTACTCTTCAAGGCAAAGAATTTAGTTTACTTCCTTCTATATTTTAATTATAGGTATTACTCTTGTAATGATTTATATCTATTTCCTTTATTACTTTAGTAGACTTAAAACACTATTTCTTAATCCATCAATTTTAAGCAGAATTCCTGACTCCCCACTAAGTGGATTAGTGCTCCCTTTGCTTTCCTCTATTTCTCCTCCCCTTGAATTTCCCTTCTGTCAGTTAAATCATTATGTCAGCCAAAGTTTCAACATTTAAATTCTCTTTTGTAACTATGGTTTTCTGAAAATGGAAAGCCAATCAAGTATAATTATGTGAATATTATTTACTGCAAAAGTAGGCTGTGTGCTTGGCTGTGCAGAGGAACATGTAGTCCTGTCTCATCAAACCTGGGCCACTTGAAGAGGAATGCTCAAAGCAGCAAAGTCACATTGATTCTCTCAATAGCCTCCACGTGTTTCTCAAAATCAGTTCACATTTTAGCTTTAAATTATACTAAATGGCTTTCATTTTGGGGGAGCCTCAAACTTGAAATCTGGAGTGGTCATTCTCAAACTTGGCTCCACATGGAATCATCAAAGGAGCTTTAAGAAACCCTGGTATTTAGAGGATCCTACATCAAGTGTTTGATTTAATTGGGCTCAGGTAATTCCAATGAGCAGCCAAAGTTGGGGACCCTAAACCATAACATCAATCACGTCTAGTAGAGTCAAAGGTAATGAAATATACTGAGTCCATTGAAAACAAGAGCAAAAAGTAAAACCCAACACCAACTGAAGGTTTATAGCTTATTTTATTTCCTTTTTGTCACAGCTGTCTCTTTCATAACCTACCACGCCTAAGATCATTTCATAAGATGCACTTCTCTGCCCTCAGCTTCTGAGACGTTTCACTCAGTCGTTGTTATTTGGATGGAGAGCAGATTTCGTTTTAAAGTCTATTCTTTTCTTAGGTGGAGACTCTGGGTCATGGGCAGCAGGAAGTGTGGCAAGGAAACCGCAGTGTGAAATTTCATCAAATCCTTGATATTTGGACTTAAGTTTCAATAACTGATTTTTTTTCCCTTGTGTCTAAGAATTTAACATGTATTGTGTTTCCAGTACTTCAATCTAATTTGGTCTGAATTCCAGGGTCAATCACAAGGTGGTTTTTCCCTTTCAGCCCTCTTCCCAAGACACCTCAAAGAGCTGGAGCCAGCCGACCTTTCTGTTTCTAGTAGGTATAGTTGGCTGTGAAGAGCGACTGGGTGGACGCAGCACCAGAAGAGCCCATGGAAGTATACTTGCCTTTGGCTGCCTGGCAGTTAGCCTAAAAAACAAGGGTGACAGAGGAGGCCGAGTTAGAACAAACACAACTATGTGCTTCAGCCTCTCATTTGAAACCAGCGACACCTTCATTTCGACATTTCCCCCCGACATTGATTTGGCAGAATATGGAGTATTGCGGCTGATATCATTCCCCTCCTTTTGTAACATGTTATCTCCTTTATCCCAGTTTTCTGAGCATTTCTTTGGCAAGAGTGAGGTTTGTGTCAGTTACTGGGAAAGTCTCTTTTTTTATATATTTTATTGATTTTTTACAGAGAGGAAGGGAGATGGATAGAGAGTCAGAAACATCGATGAGAGAGAAACATCGACCCGCCGCCTCCTGCACACCCCCCACTAGGGATGTGCCCGCAACCAAGGTAATGCCCTTGACCAGAATCGAACCTGGGACCCTTGAGTCTGCAGGCCGACGCTCTATCCACTGAGCCAAACCGGTCAGGGTGGGAAAGTCTCTTTTTAGTACCAACCATAGTGCAACAGCAGTACTAGAAATTAAACTTGAGAAACTTCTCACTAGTATTGGAGTGGGGATTTCACGCTTAACAATGGGGAAGCTTGGAATACCTGTGAAAGTTGTCTGCTAAGAAATTGACTAGATATATGGCCAAGCATCAGACAAAGTACTATTTGTTATAAAAAAAAAAAAAAAAAAAAACCACATAAATGAAAATAAAATCATTTTTTAAAATTTCCCATTTTTTACTTATATTTGACCACAAGAACATGTAATTTTATAGAGTTGTTATCACAGTATCATTTGATGCCCTGTGTAAATTCCAATTAAAGTTGAGTTCAGGATTATAAAACCTATAATAATATTCAAATGCCACTCTTCAAGTCACTGTTGCTATTGTTTACTCTCTCCAGGACTTATTTCTTCATCTACAGTGATTTTCAACATGTGTTTCATGAACCTAAGCAAGTGTAATAACTGGAAATCCCGTAGCTTGACCCCAGCCCCTCGGGATCAGAAACTCAGTGGCCGGGGCCCAGCAATCTGGGTTTTAACAAGCCCACCAGGTGATTCAGATGTACGCACTGGTTTGAGAATCACGTCTCAGACGATAAACTTGGCTTTCCTTCTTTGGTGTGGATTGGTCCCTGGCCCTTACTTTCACAGTCCCTCCATCATATCAGCTACATCTCAACTCAACAGCCACACGCCAGCACGGCCATACCCAGCTCTCCATCATCATAAGGTAAAGCACTACCTCTACAATCTCACACCCCTCTTATGCCCCAGTTCCCCTGGGGACTTCCTTTCCTTTAGTGCTTCATGGCCAAACCTCTGGTGAACTCTTCATTTCTTGTCCAGCCTTCTCTGTGATGAGCAAGCTACATAAGGCCATCACTCAAATTCAGCACTCTTCCGTCTCCTTATTAAACTTTTACTCTTTTCTCCTGCTATTCCCATTGCGGTTGACCTGAATCTTCCTGCATGCTTAAGAGAGCTGTCAGGAAATTTTAGGATCTAAGTTAATGTACCACAGACTCACTCTCGTTTCTGCTGCACTTTGCCTAATAAGCTTGGCCATCACAGCTGGTCAATTTCCCAGCTGATGATGTCAACAGCTATTCCAAGCTCCCCCACTGTTAAGATTGAAATACAGTGGGGCCTGGACTTACGAGTTTAATTCTTTGCGAGACCGAGCTCGTTAACTCAAATTACTCTGCCAAGTCAATGCAAAAAATAGGCTGACAGACAGCTGGTATCTCAAAAAACTCGTTAGTCGGGACACTCGTTAAGTCAAGGCCCTACTATATCTGTTCCCGTCTCACTCTCAACAGATGCCCTCAACTGCAGTCAGCAATCAACCATCACCTCTCTTTATCTCAACAGATCCGATTTCAACCCTTTCTCTCTTCTTTGATGTCTCTCCCCTTCTTTCTAAGACCAACTCTGACAACTGCGTTAACATTTCGTTTCATGTCATCCTATTTCCTCTAAGCCCTTGTCCTCTCCATGATCTCCACCCTCCTCATCTTCACTCTGTCCTCTGGCTTTCTTTTTCTAATGGGTAGAAATGATATCACTTTGTGGGTTTGATTTGCATTTCCCTGGTGATTAGAGATGCTGAGAATCTTCTCATGTATTTATTGCCATTTGTACTTCATCAAAGGAGAAGTGTCTATTCGAGTCCTTTGCCCATTTTTTTAACTGGGTTGTTTCCATTTTTGTTACTGAGATGGATAATAAAACCTTATCATCTATCAGATTTACAAATATGTTCATTCATTCTATGAGGTGTCTTTTCACACTCTTGATAGTGCTCTTTACATCTCAGTATGCCAAGCTCTCTCCTACTTGGCTAAGCCCTAAGCTCCCTAAAGGCAGTGGCTGATCTGCTTTATTCACCCTCGTCCTTGGCTCATAATAGGTGTTCAAAAGGAATGGTTACTAGTTGAATAAAATCATTTTTGTCCTCATTTCTTCTGGTAACCTTTCTAGGTTTTCTCCTGACAAACTTCTTGAATGTGCACTTTTTTTCTTCTCTCTCTATTGAAACTATTTTATTGGGGGTCACTGATAATCACCTATGCCCATCTCTGCCTTCTCTGAGCCTTTATTCTGAATCTCTCTGAAGTGTGTTGTGACTGACCCCTTGAAATTTTTTTCTCTTCGTTCTCAGAATCCCTGGTTCATTCTATCATATTATTGCTGCTTGTTAGAGTGGCTTCTCTTCTTCATCTTCCCAAAATGAAAGGTGTCCCGGTTCAGTCCTTATCCCTCTTATCTTTCCTCTGAAGTGTCTCTGTGGAAATTGTCCTTCAATCTGTCATCAGCTATGCACACAGTGTGGATAACTCAAAACTCTCTCTAGCCCTCACCTTCCTATTGAGCTCCAATGCCACATTTTCAAATACCCAGTGGACATTATCTGGAGATACCTTCATGGGCTGAGAAAGCAAAGTTTTCCCATATGACAGAACCAGGCCCCAAGTGTCCACTTGATCAAGTACATAAGAGGTAGTAGCATCTTACCACAGCCCGCTTCATAAAAGCCTCCTGTGTCGCCTTCTTGTTGGCAGCCTTGCCACCCCAAGCAGCCAGTGCACTGGCCTGCAGGGCCCGTCCGTAAGAGAAACTTAGTTTCCAGGGCTTGGGAAGAGGGCAAAGGTTGATAGCATTGAGGTTGAGGGTAGCATCCTCTTCACTCATGCCACCAGACAAAAAGCAGATGCCTAGAAGGGGAGAAACCACTCCACTCAATTAGTCTCAGCTTGTGGACCCAGCTTGAGAAAGCAAGCAATGGGCCTAAAAGGAATGTAATGTTTCAATCTTTTCTCTGCTTGATTTGCATGGGGCTGGGTCGGGGATATTAATTTTCCCTTGTTGAGGCTAGTTGGGCTAGGGATACAAGGGCTTTCATAAGTAAGGAGGGAGGTGAAACGTTGAGGAAATCAATGGATCGTGTGCATGTGGGCAGACTCAGGATATGTGGTATCACAGAGTGTGAGGGGAAGTGCTGCTGCCTGTGAGATGGCAGGGGTCTGCTTCATGGGTGGAAGACCCTGGACAAACAAAATGCTTGTGGAACTTCAAAGGCCAAGGGCCAAGACCTGGAGTTAGAGATGAAGGAAAGCCTTACCAGGTACAGCAGCAGGAACGGTACGGTGGAGAGCGGTGACAGTGGCCATGGCCACTTGCTCTGGAGTATACTTCTTGGTGCAGGCATGTCCAGCGGTCACCATGTTGGGCTTCAGCAGGGTGCCCTCCAGGTACACATGATGGTCATTCAGGGCCTTGTAGACAGCAGCCAGGACCTGAAGGATAAGAGATCCAAACAGATGAAACCCAGAGCCAGCCTTAGAGTCACCTGCCCTTGGCACTTTTATGCTGCACAGATGCAGGATTAAGGAATTCTGTGTGGCTTGGCCAAAGCTTCCCAACCAGCCCCCAGGCCTCATCAGGGAAATGTACTGCAAACCACAGCCACTGAGCACAGCCAAGCTGGCCTGTACCCGCCACCCCTACTTTAGCTGCCCACTGCATGTCTGCCTGCATGGCTGCTTCCCCTCACTCCTTTCTTCCCATCACTCCCTTTGGTCAGTGGAGACTGCCTGGATTTCGTTAGTTGGGGACATCTAAATTGGCCTCCATTCTCCTCCCCTTAGATGCTAAGCGGTCATAAACACATACATTTTAGACACAGAAGTGCTTTCAGATCTCATTTTAGTCCACCTAATTTTGTCAAGGAAAAAACTGAGGTCAGGGTACATTATGTCTCTCACTCTCCTGCAGATATACTGTGACTAATTTAGAAAGTCACAAGTAGACAAATTACTTTCTAATTGCATGTGTTTTATGTAAGCCTCATTTTATTTTAAAATTTCTTAATTTACACCTAATGGAACTGAGGCCCCGCAAGTAGGCACAGGGATTCTCAAGGCCTAGTCTCGGTACTGCAAGTCCTGTGCTTTTTCCATAAGGAGCACACCGTGTACCCAAAAGTGGTAGGTTTGCTAATACCGCCTTACCTTCTCAATGCTGCATAATGATGCCGACTGAGACTATTTCTCATAGAGCAGCTGAGATATGTTAGGTAATAGCTGTTACTTAAAAGCAAGGGTTTTCAACTAGGGTTTGGACTTACCTTCTCAGTAACATATTGGCAGTGTTCCATGTCATGGTCTCCATCAGGAATGACCTCTGGTTCCACAATAGGTACCAGCCCGTTCTAAAAAGGAAAAAGGAGAGAAAGAGTGAAGCTCTGCTCACGGGGATCCTTTCCTTAAGAGATTATTCAACAGTTGAGGTTGGTATAAAATGAAGCCCTTTTGGAGAAATATCATGTAAGTGACTCAAAGGCAATGCAAAGAAATTTAATGAGATATCTAGTGAGCATGGCGTAGCCAAAAAAGAACAGTGAGACCAAAAAGAAAGAAAGGGCCATGGTCAGTTTGGTTCAGTGGATAGAGCATTGGCCTGTGGACCTAAGGGTCTCAGGTTCAATTCTGGTCAAGGTCAAGGTCAAGGGCATGTATCTTGCACATTGATAGTTCTCTCTATTTTCCCCCTCTCTCTTCCACTCTCTCTAAAAATCAATGGAAAAATATCCTTGAGTGAGGATTTTTTAAAAAAAAAAAAAAAAAAAGGAAGGAAGGAAGGAGAAACGAAAGGAAGAAAAATTTTCCTGGGAATGGGGAAAAATAAAAGCTCCTAATTTCTAGGTCTTATTCTAGAAACTACTCCAGCTACTTCAGAAACTAGCTGTCACCCTTTAGAGCAGTCAAGCTTAAATCACTAAGAAAGATGCCTCTTGTGTGGGTTAAGTAAGGAATTCAAGAAGTGTTTACAATTCTGATTGGGAATCTCCAGGTGCCCACAACTCAGCACCCATACAATAAAATCAGACTAAATTGGATCCCAGAGACACGTCAACACATGTTGGAAACTTTAGCAGCAAGTCTCCATCCTCCATGAAATTGTGTGGACTGGATCAGAGCTATCACCCTTGACCTGGGGACCTCAGAGGGTCTTGTCTTGGACATAGTGGAACACAGACAAGCAAGTGCCCTGGCCTCAAAAGCCTGACCACTTTGAAGAAGAACAGCTCCTAGCAGGCTTGTGCAACCACACCTATCCCTACCACACACGGCTACAGCAGAAGTAGTGAAAATGCCACCAGGATACACTGGCGGGGGGAGAAGAGGGCTCATGTGTGGATATAGTAAAATTAGAAAGATAGGCTCTAAAGATAGCACTCGCCTACTGTTTTTTAGCCCAAGGGGAAGCCTGAGCACCTGCTGGCAGATGCTGGCGTAGCGAGCCAGGGCGTTGGCATTTTCCTGGATAGCAAGGGCGGATGGACACTGGTTGTCAATCCTCAGCACAGCACGCCACTTCCCAAAGTCAACACCGTCTTTCTTATACTGAGCACAGCGCTGAGAAAGGCCATCGAGCCCTGTAAGTCACAAAAGAGAGAATGGCTTCTTTGTGGCCCTGTCCCTGATCCCTGGGGCTGATAAAGTGAAGGGGTGCTCCCTTGGCTTAGCTTCCAGTCAGCAGAGCTTGAGAGCCAAAAACAAACAGACAAGTAAACATGGGTCCCAACACTGAGCCAAGAGACCTGGGTTTAATAAATATGTTTTGACACACATAAGAATAGAGGGAATGAATATTTGGTTGGTATATTTGCTATGTTCTAGGAATGATTCTATGCATTTTGCACACCATTTCTCATTTAGTCATCATAACAACCCTAATAGTTAATATTATACTCATTTTACAGATGTGGATAACCAGGCTCTGAGAGGTTGAGTGACTTGACTAAGTTTGCATAGTGAGAGTGATGGAGCTGGGATTCAAATTCTGTGTAGCTAACCCAGTGTTGTGGTTTATACTTGTCTACTTGGGCAGTGAAGTACCTAGCAAAATTATCTAAGTCGTAAGTGATGGAACCAGGATTCAAACCCAGGTATGTCCAATCCCAAAGCCTGGGACCATTACTCTCTCCTGCTGCTGGATTTTTCTCTAAAAATAATATTCCCAGGTACAGAGTATCTTCTCTGTGCAACACACTGTGGTAAGTCCTTTATATATATTGTTTAATTTAATCTTCAAAACTATTCTGCAAAGAAGATATTGTTATCCCCTGAAATGGCCACAGAACACTTAAGTGACTAACCAGAGGTCACACAGTTCTCAACTAGAGGAACTCGGATTGAAAATCAGGTGCACGTGGCTTTAAGACCCATGTGATATTGATAATTTATTTTCACTTACTCATTTCTAGCATATATTGGCATGATTCACATCCATGGGCAGTATCCTTACCTTGAATGGTGGTTTCCTTGTTTGTTCCTGCAAGTGGAGCAGTTCCTTGGTCCAACTGTGAATTAAATAATTAACAAGTAATTAGCAGGTGTCAGGTATCCCAGTAAATAAAACACCAGCAGAGCCCCTAGTGCTGACTAAGTAGTTCCCATCTTTCACAAATCAAGGAGTTCAGTTAGGAAAATGGATTAGCCATCTGGAGGGACACAACAGAAAGACACAAAAGTCCATAGCAGAAGGGACGTTACCTGGAAGGGACAATGTAAGAGGGCCAAGGTCAACCCTAAGAGGATGGAAAGCACAGGCCTGGAGCTTGGGAAGGAAGAAGTAATCTGATAGCACTAGGAACACTAGTATAGAGGTTCTGTATAAGAGCAGCATCCTTTAAATTATTCATTCATTTATTCAAGAGGCATGGTGGAGCACCTTCGCATCGCAGGTACTGTGTTATTACAGGAGATGAAGAGAATAGGATGCAGCCTCTACTCTCCGCAGAGCAAAGGCTAAGTTCATGAGCCCAAGAGGTGGACAGTCTGGGCTCAAACAGCCTCCAATTTTGCCTTGCTGCGGGCAAGTTCTGTCACCCTTGTAATTCCACTTTCTCACCTCACCTCTAAAATAAGGAGAATAACTGAGTCAGCCTCCAGAGGTTGTCAGGAGGATTAAATGAGTCCCTGGAGGTCTAAGCAGTTATTGAATACTTTACTCTTGTGCAGTATTGGAAGACCTAGTTAAAGATAGAATAGTGAGTGCTTTCATAATCACAGCTATCATGCTCTGAATAATAATTTTGTGACTGGGACTGTTTTTAAAACACATTTCCTCCTTATAAGAATCTTATGAGGTAAGTACTATTATTCCCATGTTAGAAATGAGAAAATTGAGACACTAAGAGATTTAGTACCTTGTAGAAAATGGCTGAAAGAAGAGGGCATGGGAGGAAAAGTCTAGAAGAGGATCAGTTCTCAGGGGAAGGTGTGACGGAAAGCAGATGATGAGACATGTTCTGAGTGCTGGCCCTGCCACAGCCCCTGGGCTGGGCACTTGGCCGGGTTGTGGTTAGAGGTGAGCGGAGTGCAAGGACTCACCTTGATCCCCACCACGATGCCCTTTTCCTTAAGGATGTTTCTGAACAGCTTGCCCTGGCTGTCCTTCTGGTAGAGGGTCTCATGGAACAGGATCACGCCCCCGATGCTCTGGCTAACAGAGTTGTCCACGGTGAAGAGGATTTCACGGAACTGCCGTCGGTTCTCTTCTGTGTTCTCCACGTTGATCCTCTGCAGGCGGTTTCCCATGGTGCCTATGGGTGGGCGGGCAAAGGCAATGTAAGGAGCCAGCCGGGCTTTCCTCCCCACGATCAGAACTCCTGCCTCTTTTTTGTCTCCTTTGGCTGCTGGGCAGGAAGAGGACGGGCTGGGCATGTCTGAGTCAGGGAAGCCACCAGTGGGTCCAGGTGGTAGCTAAGGCCGTCCAGTCTCTCCCCAGCCTCTCTGGTTCAGCCCTCAATCTGACCGTTGACTTCTCTGATTTCTATCGTTTCCTGGTGGCGTGCGGGCCCGCCACAGCTCTCCTTTTTACTTCCTCGGGCTTACTTAGACACAAGCGCTTCCCTGTGCCAGATGTGGACACTTCCTTGCCTCTCTGCCCTTCTCTGGCTGACTTCTTATTAGCAGCAGCGGGCTGTGTATCTGACCCTCATTCTGGTTACTGAATTCCTGGTCTTGCTATAGCCTGAATTCCAAAGTCCTCTGGCAAGGGGCCTCAAAATGGAAGGCTGAGTCTCTGTCTTAGGTTTTCAGAAATCTGCCAACTGGAATGACAGGACCCCAAAGGTCTCTGCTTCCCAAGCCTTCTGCTCCCACTCCTGTGTGCATAAGCCTTTTCTCGTCTGAGAGGAAAGAAAACATGGATATCAAGTTGCCTTTGCGACGTGTAGAAACAAGAGTATGCTTGTTGTATGATGCTTCTCGCACTCACCTACAGACTCATCGGCAGCCAGGATCCCCTTCCCATTGGCAACGATGCGCTGGGCGATTTCTGAGAGCTCCTTCTTCTGGTCTGCAGTGAGGGCTGGGAATTTGTAGGCCATGGTGACAGGTCTGGAAAAGAGTGCAGGAGAGTCCTGAACAAAACTGGCGGTGGATCGGATGGACTCATGACTAAGGCAGCTGGGTGTGCAGTCTAGCCCTACAGGCCCTCTGCCATTTCTGGTCCGTTTCTACAAGTGCACAAACAAATGAGGTCTGGGAGGGAGGGTGTCTTCCCCCTTAGCCTAAGTAGTTGCAGTTAGCCATAATGGCCGAAGGTGGGAGGGTAAATGTTCATGGTGATGCTAAATAGAATGCCTTCCAGGGCACCTTTGGGATGACTGTTCCTGAGACTGAACCAGCGAGTTAGTGACACATCACATCTGACAGGTAGATGGCACTGCAGTAATTGACTCTCTACTTTGTGGATTTCCGGTGCCATCAGGTACCCTAGCTGTCTTGAGGCCAGGGCAGTGAGGCTTTTGGCCTATGTGGCCATTCTCTACTTTGTTCTGTTAGTCTATAGCCCACCAGACTATTTTCCAGGCAATACGCTTGAGAGGACAGACCACCACTTGGATTTGAAGCTAACATTTCTTCAGCGTTGGGATCTACAAGGTGGAGTGCGAGCTTCTTTTTTTCCTGTATTCAAACACCTATGAGACCACTTGAGGCCAATGGGTAGGGTTTTTCCTAAGAGCCTCTGGACTGGAAATTCCCAGGGTCCAAGGGTGCTGAAGTCATGGGGTAATCCCTGTCCCAATAATTCTCAGTTTCACTGCTTTACTGAGGGAGATTGGCAGTGGGCCTCTGAAGGGGATCCCTGCACTTGTTCAGCTGCCACTTTGACTGACTAGTCTTAAAAATGCAACCGCACAGGGCTCTTTTTATCTTATATGTTATAAGAAGTGATTTTGCATAGGATGAGCTATCAAAAAGGACAAACCATGGTGAAGATTATTTTGAGCCATTTTCTATCCAATCCTATGGCCTCCTCTCCCCCTCATACACAAATAGTGCAAAATAGCAGCAAATTATCATTGACTGCCAAGCACTCCACTACTTGCTTTGCATGCACTATGTAATTTATGCCTCACAATAATCCCAGAAGGCAGCTGGAATTCCCCCCTTCCCATATAATAGATAAGGAAAGAATATAAGAATGTTTAATGATTTGGCCAAAGACAAATAGCTAATAAGACACAAAGTTGGGATAAGGGACAGTACTCCTATTTCAAGG